TTACACCGTACACAAAGATAAACTCAAAATGGATAAAAGACCTCAAGGTGAGATAGGAATCCATCAGAATCCTAGAGGAGAACATAGGCAGTAACCTCTTTGATATCAGCCACAGCAACTTCTTTCAAGATATGTCTCCAAAGGCAAAGGAAACAAAAGCAAAGATGAACTTTTGGGACTTCATCAAGATCAAAAGCTTCTGCACAGCAAAGGAAACATCAACAAAACAAAGAGGCAACCCACGGAATGGGAGAAGATAATTGCAAATGACAGTACAGACAAAAGGTTGGTATCCAGGATCTATAAAGAACTCTTCAGACTCAACACACACAAAACAGACAATCATATAAAAAAATGGGCAGAAGATATGAACAGACAATTCTCCAATGAAGACATAAAATGGCTATCAGACACATGAAAAAATGTTCATCATCATTAGCAATATGGTGTCCTGAAGTGAAATTTCATCTTTGAAATTGAAATTTGTCTTGAATTGAAATTCTAGCCCAGTCCTATTGAAAAATAAAACCTTTATGTAACTAAATTAAGTCAACTTGTGGAAAATCATACTCTACTACACTATTACTTTGCTCTGCTCTACTGTACTCTACTCTACTACAGTACATACTACTATAGCTAAATTGATTACCATAGCCAGGCTAAGAGAGGAATAGAATGGATCATCAGCATCTACAGTAACTTAAAGGGTCATTTTAGCAATTTCTTTTAATCTTACTACTGCTAAGTGTTTTAGGTCGGGATTCATTTGGTTGCAGGTAACAGAACATCCAAATAACAATAGTATAAAAAATAAGGTGTTCCAGTGTCTGTTGCTGCATAAATAAACCATCCCCAAATTTAGTGGCTTAAAATAATATTTATTTTCCTCCTGAATTTGCAATTTGGGAAGGACTTAGTAGAGGGCAGCTTGTCTCCTCTCCTTGGCATTGGCTAGGGCAGCTTGAAGACTGGGGCCTGGAATCTTCTGAAGCCTGGGTCACTCACATGTTTCCTCATCCTTGTTGGGAAGAGTTAGAGAGCTGGAGCCTGGTACAGCTGGTGTCTTTTGGCATCTCTGGCTCTATGTGGTCTCTTACGTGGTTTCTCCAGCATGGCAGTTTTGGTGTACATAGACTGACTTCTGATATGTCAACTCATGGCACCTAAGTCGTACATGAGGCAGAAGAAAAACAAGGCAGAAACTGTAACACCTTTTAGGACCTAGCCTGGGGAGTCATGCACCATCCCTCCCACTGCATTCTGTTCATTGGAAGAAACTCACTAAGACTGGCCTCTACTAAAGAGAAGGAGAATTAGGCCATGTCTTCTGATGGGAGAAGTATCAAAGAATGTAGCCATGTCTTAAAACCACTACATAGGGATTGGCTTTTCATATATAGTGTCTAGAGGGAAACAGTTCTGTATAATGTGGGGCTCCATGATATAATAAAAACCGGGGTTTCTTCTATAATTCTCTACCATTTTTAGTAGATTGGTTTATTGTCTCAAAGTTGTCACTAGATGACTGTTGGAGATTCAAATGTCATAACCATGGTCAAGACCAAAAGAAGTGGAAGGTATAGTACCAGCAGCTTCTGGCCTCTTTTACCAGGAAATAAAAGATCCTTCCCAAAACCCTCCACTGCAGAATTCCACTTACGTTCCATTGGCCAGAACTCTATCAGAAGGCATGTTTGCTTGTCTTGTTTCAGGGGAGGTTAAAACTGAATATTTCTGTTCTTCATTCTCCATTGTAGTGGTAGGCATGAGTAGAGAGATCTGAAAAAGGGCACTGGGTCAGGCAAGCCACACTTCTGCCCTAATAAACCTCCATATCAGGCACATAACATTACAAGTAGGAGGAGTTTCAAAGAGTTCCTTCGCCTCCATCAGCCAAAGTTAACAATGAAATGACTGAAATATGGTTAGCAGAGGGAAGATACATCAGGTAATGAATGGAATCATTTTCAACTATATCCTGTAGATAGAATCAAAAGCTAGATATTGAATTAAATGAACCACTTATACAGTTGAAACAGGAAGCAGAATTGGGTCACCACAGAAACTTGCCAATAAGATCAGAGGACAAAGAAAGGAGGAGATCACTGACTTGTGATACAATGTTAAAGATGCTTAGCAGATTACCTTGGGTTCAAAGGCCCAGGGCCTAAAAATAACTTGAGGCAGGGTATAAAGGAACTGCTAACTTATAACCCTAACCCAAATTTTGTGTCTTTCTTTATAGAACATTCTTTTTTTTTTTTTAAGGCTTCTGTTGTTCACTTGTGAATAGAAACAGGAAAAATGCTGAGTTGATGGATTTAACCCATCTGCAACAATTATCCAAATTTAAGATTTAAAGCTTCAAAACACTTAGCTAGAAACAACAACAACAACCACAAACTCCTTTCTTTCCTTCCTGTAAGCACAGAGCCCCCCAGGTCTATTGTCTAAAAGAAGTTAAAGAAATCACACTGCAGCAAGTATTTTTCTGGAGCACTTGCACATGACCCCAGCAATAGCTAAGATTGAAAAATGAGACAACTGGGTTTACTGACACTAACGCTGTAGAGAGCTCTTTCCCAGGTAAATTAGCAGATATTCAGGAAAACATATGTGCTTGAGGGAGAACACTCAGTATGAAGAAAGTATGTGCCTGCAGTGGGAATCCCATAAATCCCAGGTTGCAACTTGCAGTAAGTATAAGGGAATAAATGAGTAGTTAATTCTCAGAGAAAATGGAATGTGGAATAGGAAAATTTTTTCTTTATAATGAATGAATTCTAACATAAGCAGATTAAATAATTTCTCTGAAGCGATATGGCACATATTAAACAGAAAAAAGAACTCCAGGCATTTGCAAGTATTCCCCTTTATAGTTTAATTTGGGAGATAAAGTTATGCAGATGTTTGTTCTAAGCAACTAATTTGATCTAATATGAAATAGACACTTCTTAAACAGAATCGTAAAACATATGCATGGGAATTACTGGTGTCTTTTTATCATTTATAAGCTAATAATTTGTTTTCAATATTTCTATCATCTGTAAAATTTAATTAAGAAGTAAAGAATAGGATGTGAGGGTGATCTGGCTGCAACATCAGTCACCCCATTGATCACCAGGGTTGATTCAGCGGATCTGGCTGGCGAGGCGGGTGTCCCCTTCCTCCCTCACAGCTCCATGTGCATCCCTCCCAAAGCTGCATGCTTGCTCAAAGAGGATGACCTTCCCCAATAAAGGAGAGCACCATTCTTCGGTCAAGGGTATACGAGTAGCTTTGCTCCCCTGCTAGAACCTCCAAACAAGCTCTCAGGAAGTAAAGAATAGGCTTATAGAGATCATGACCACACATGCTTCTTTCTTATATTTCAAATTATAATCATATCATGATGGCTTTTGATCCTCAAAGAGTACAACAAAATAATATATTTGAACTTTTTCTTATTAAAAAAATACCAACTTAGAGACCTACTGTAAAATACTTCAGACACTCTCAAACCATGTAGCACAATTATAACATGCAGAAATTCTGTAACTCTCAAAAGCAACTGCCAACAGTTCTAGGCTCAGGATAAGTGTTCAGTTCACAAAATTTCTTTGGATATTCAACCTCTCTCACAAATATGTATAAATTCTCAGTGCATGAAAATATTTTTCAGATCAAATATTTTCCACACTAACTGGAAACTCCCGTTGGGTTGTAAATGAAAAGATTTGTTAGATATTATTCAATTAGGTGACAATATTAATAGCCCCCATTAAACGCTAATTTGCTCTTTATTCAGCAAAGACTAAAACAGATGTAAAACAGGGGTTGGCCACCCCCAGAACATATGTCTAAGACAACAAGCAAGCTGAGAGTAATTTGAAACATGAGCTGGCTGTCCCTTCCATACCTCCCTTTCCACTGCCATTTCTGCCACAGATGGTTTAACACTTTCCTATAACATGTCTAACTTCCTCAGTGCTAGTAGTTTTTATGTGTGTTGCAGGGGGTGGGGGGCATCCCCTTACCTGCGCACGCGCACACGCACACACACACACACACACACACACACACACACAGGTTAGATCAGCAAGCATTTATCAAGCGCCTGCTGCCAGGCATCATGCTGGTGTTATGGACACAGTTGCAAAAGGTGCAGCCTTGGGAGTCCTGCTGTCTAAATTCACACCCCTTCTCATCAGTCACTAGTTATATAACATCAGGCAAATTCCTCAGCCTCTAAGGCCCTGGCTTCTTTATCTGCAAAATGAGAATACTAATAATACCTACATCATGGGGGTTTTGTGAATATTAAATAGTTAATATACAGAGCCTGGCATCTACTGAATGCAATAAACTTATCTATCATCACCACCATTATCATCACCATCATCATCATCACCATCATCATCATCATCATCATCATCATCATCATCATCATCGTAGCATGGTCCCTCAGTCTTTATTCCCCAGTAAACTAGGAGGTAAAAAACACATATAAACAGATTATTCCAACTGTAGTAAGTGGAACTCTTAAGAGAGGCACTTATCTCAACTTGGAATTCAAGAAAGATCCCTGAGCTGAGAGTTGAAAGATGAGTAGATTTAGCCAGATGAAGAAATGTTCCAGAGGGAAGAGCTTGAGCAAAATCACAAGAAGCATGTTGTATACAGGAATTGGATATGGTTTGCTATTATTAGACATGAAGCTCAAGGAAGGGAGTGGTGAAAATGAGGCTCATGAGGAAGATGAGGACCAGGTCATCAGAAGTCATATATACCATGTTAATATGACTATTGCTTTGTGTAAACCAAATTTCTTAAGCCAAGGTATATAAAGTACTGTATTCATAGAGGTATTCCATGAGATGTTCCTGGACATTTCTCAAAATAATAGCTTCACTCTGACTTATGTCTGAAAGCAACCTCGTTATGCTAATTTTAACAACAAATTTATTAATGATAAGATTAGAATTTAGTCATATTTAAAAAACTGAAGGTTTTTTTTCCTTTTTTAAGATTTATTTAAGAGAGAGGAAAAAAGAATGGGGGGGCAGAAAGAGAGAGAGAATCTCAAGCAAGCTCCCTGCTGAGCATGGAGCCCAACACAGGGCTGGATCTCACAACCCTGAGATCATGAGCCTGAGCCAAAATCAAGAATCAGGTGCTTAATCAGCTGAGCCATGCAGGTGCCCCAAAACTCAGGGTTCTCTTAATGCATCCCCAAATGTATCCCTACCTCAGGCCCTCTATACTTGCTATTCCCTCTGCTTCCAGTTCTCTTACACCGGCTGTTCTTCTGACTGGCTCCTTCTCATTCAGGTCTCAGCTCAAAATGTCACCTCTCTAGGAAGGCCTTCTCTGACCACCTTATCTCCCCTGTGATTTATTATCCCAACACCCTGTGTTATTTCCTTCATATTTGTCATTCTTCATATTTGTCATTCTCTAAAATTATGTTGCTTATCTAGTTATTTACTCATTATTTTTCAACTTTCCTTCTAGATTATAAGCTTCATGAGTGCAGGGACTATATATCTTATTCATTGCTCCAACCCCATGTCTAGAACAGTGTTTGGCACAGAGTAGCTTCTTGATAAATTTTGTTTCTAATAAATGGATGAATTTTTTAAATAAACCAATAACGTGCAGTCTTGGACTTTGAGAAATATGCCAAATTTTATGGTTCTGAAAACAAATAATTTTCTTGTCTAAAATCTCCAAGAGCAAAACAGAATTTTAGATTTAAATAAAAGCTAATTATAGTATATTTGACTCAGAAATAGCGAGATATACTTAATCCTACTAATTATCCTCTATCACAGGTAAATATTTTTGCTTACCACATACTCTTTAACCTAGTTATAGTAATATAATAAAGAATCAGACCCTTGATATAAGTTGCCAAGTGTCATGTTTTTAAATAAAACAAGCCCTCAGGACTTTGGAAGGGAGCCCGATAGACTCACAGTTCAAAGCTTTCAGATCCATTTACATGTGGTAGCACTAAGGAAAGGCTATCTTACAGAGTGTTCCTGTGGACAGCATAGAAAGTCAGGGATTCTTTTTTCTAAATTCTTCAGTTACAATCCAGTGAAAATAAAATGTGTAGGAAAAATGTCCAAGTTAATCAATACAGCCTCTTTAAGAGTCAGATGTTTTCAAAACCAGAAAG